CTTTTATTGGTTTGTTTAGAATCAGGGCTTAAAGCCAATTCCCCGTGGCGAACTGCCAGTGTTTCACCTACCCGGTTATAGCCCCGGATTCTGGGTCTTCGTCCTCCAACTTCGGTGGAGAAACATTTCCACCAAGGGAACACAATGAGTAGGGCTTCCTCAGCAAAGACTATTTCAGACGCTTGGTCGTATAGGGAAGCATTTCGCGAGATGCAAAGAAAGGGTGACCAGGCACACACCATAATGAGGCTTTTGAAAGCATTTGAAACAATCCGGTTCATTGGGGGTATTCCCAAAGCAATAATATTAACTTCAACATTGCGGGTGGGAATGTTCACATTCCATTCACTGTTGGCGATAATTTCAGTCACTTTGTTATCATAATTACTTGCATTCTGGATAGGTATCCGCGCAGTTTCACCGGTGTAAAATAAACGAAAGCTGCTTCCCTCTCTCGCGTGAGCACGTGAATGTCTTCTTTTTATTCCCGGAAACTTAACAAGAAGCCCACACCCCATGTGATCACCTTGCGCGGGTGTCTCTGGTGTATAGAGTGACAGGTAACGAAAGAAATCAGCAAATAAAGCTCGCTTTAGTACCGGTTGTGATTTAGCGACAGATGGTTCAAATGGCGCGGAAAACCATCCAAACTCATTTGTACCAAGTTTGTGCATCTGAATTTCAAGGAACAATAACCTACTGAAACCCGAAGTCAGACGAATCCAGTTTGTCCGACAAACCAAAGGTTTTGCCAAAACTTGTTTCATTCAAAGAAGAATGATCAAGTAAAAAGGGCCACCACGATTTATAACATCACACGTTTGAATGCGCCATTGGTGCATTATATTTTAGTTTCACTGTGAGATCACAGTGTGTGGCTTTCTTACAGATTTTGCATTCTCACTTACCCAAATCATCTGCACAAACGACAGCTGAGTTGTCCGAAAGAGTACCGAGAACCGGGGATCCAGTTACTCGACAGAATATTTGAATTTTTCATCAATAGTAGATGCGATTAATTGTAAACAATCGTGACATATAAGTGCATGCGCACGGACAACGGCAGTCCTAGTGATATGGATCATTACTGTCTCATCGGCCCAGAGGTTACGAGTCCCTTTATTTCATCAACACTGCCTAACTTTCCCATTTCACCGGATGATCGGGACTCCCTCTCTCTGATGCCTTCCCCGGTTTCATCAAGCAGCCGTACTCATTACGCACGCAGAAAGAGAGAAACAAACA